GCATTCTGTTTTCTCGCTGGCCAAGTTGCGGAGCGTTCAAGTTTGGTGGACCAGGTTTCCCTCCGCTTTACGTACCAGGGGCTGCAGAATAGCCCGTACTTGTTGATTTGCGCGGAAATCACGGCGCGACTGGGTTGTTTGCCCGCACACCGCCAATTTAGTACCCAATAAAAAGACAACTGCACTTGATCAGTCTTGGCCGGCCAACCCAGCCAGTCAGTTGCCCTATCCTCAGCTGTGACCACGCACGAAGCCACCTTTGTTTGACCGCCGATGTTCAATTGACCAATCACATGCGGGTTGTTGGGTGCACAGGCGTACAGCCAATTCTCTTGTTTGCACATGCAATCGAAGTGCTGGATACTGTGGGAAGGGTATGTAATCGGCATGGCTTTCCTGGCAATTTGCACCTCTTGCCATTGGTCCACTCGGGTTGACAGTCAGGTAATCCTGCAGATGCCCGAACATATTCGCTCTGCATGGAAGCTGTGGGAAAGGTAAGACTACACACTTGCCAGGAAGAGCTTTTGCGCGCGGGTCGTGGATGTGGCGAACTCGGGCGCGGCGCCGGAGGCGCTGAGAGTTGCTATCCTAAGGGACAGGGTCTGGTCAAGCGGATGGCTGTGTCCATGGAGCCTCAAATGACTTCACGTTTTCGAAGCACCGGGGCACCGGGCTCTACCAGCAAAATGCCAGTCCTTTAAGAGCCTTAGCAGAACGATTGGAACGGATTGGAACCTGACGCCGAAGGGCCATAGAGGCTTGTGGAAATACCAGGGGCACATTCCAAAGTGTTCTTGCTTAGACATGCTTGAAGGCTTCAACCCGGAAACATCGCATGTTAACCAGCAAAAAGTTAGCAAAGCCAAGGGGCCGGAGTTTTTAACAGTGAACAAGTATAGTCTGAGAAGCGTTTTGTGAAATGCACAAGCTTGGTGGCGCCGCTTCATTTAGTTGTTTTTCTTTTTTCTCATTTACACCAAGGTGCCATTTGGGGTACCACAGCCGAAAAAAGAGCTGCCTCTTCGCATTTCTCACACTTTCCGCTTTTGTGTAGCTCGCTTCTCTTTTAGCTGGCAAGCTATATAGCTATAAAGGTATAGTTCGTCGCTTAAGTAGTCAGGCGATCAGCTACCTAGCCCAGTTAGCTCGCTGGCTTTTGAGGCGAGAAGCTGCTTGTTAGTTGGTTGGCCTTGTTTGCTGTGTCTGAGCTACGTCGTCAGCGTGCGTTCTTCCCCACCCTTAGCGGCAAAAGAGAAACACGGCAACTCTTGCTGCAAGTCCCGATTCTTTTCAGGGTTCCTTCTTCATTTAGTCAATTAAACGAGTTTTTGTGGAGCCCAGGGACCACTATTATGTAAGGTGTTTGCCAAGAAACGGTCGGGGTATTCAGAACTCGGCCAGAATTGGCCAGGGTGGCTATCCTGGGACAGAGCTATTTGTTTCAAACTTGGGAGCTACAGAATTGCAAGTTAATCCGGCGGCCGCCAACTTTTCAAAGCTTGGCAGATAAGCACTGCACGAACCGGGCCAAGTGCTTAGAACGTGCTAACCCATTTGGGCTGCCTAAGTACATCCTTAGAAGGTTCTTGAACCCTCAGCAACTTTGGGAGACCGGCTGGTTGAAGTTTTTGCCTGGTGTCAATCTGGGGGGACTGGTTGGGTCAGGATTTGGGTGTTCCGAGGGCAGTCCCGTCGTTTTAAGCCTGGGTCTCACTTTTGGCACCCCTTCCGCTTAGCCCTTCACAAACTGTGGCAGACAAGACTCAGCGCCTTTTCCGGGTGTGGAACACGCTGGTTGCTCCGGGTGGAAATAGCGACTCCCCGCGCCAGGTCAAGGCCTTGGTCAAAGAGATGGAGGCAGGGCCAAGGGATGCTAAGGTTTTGTGTGTGTGTGGAGGCGTGGGTGCATGCGTACGTGTTTGTGTGTGTGAGTGAGAACCAAGGATCCTTACAAAGTATTGGTTTTATGTTGTTTCCTATAGACACTTTGGGGCTGGGAGACGAAGGAACATGGTGCTGTTGGCCTCAGCTCGCGGATCCGACAGGTGCGGAAACTTAGCACCGCCGGTAGGGGCTTCCTTGGATTTGCCGAAGATTTGCAGCCAGGATCGCACCTGCTTGGAGTGGCCAGACATTGCTGAAGCCGTCGAGAAGATCAAGTGAGCCGAAGTCAATGGGGAGGATACGTTCAGGTAGATCCTTGCAGGGTAGGGGTACGTTGGATTCATATTTTTCCCACGTTCGACCTGCTTAGTGGCCCAAAGCCGACCGGTTTTGAACAGCTAGCTTCCCTGGCCAATGTTCAGTCGTGGCATTGCCAAAGGCAATCCCCGTTTATTCTCCCGCACGTTTGGTTGCAAGTGAGCCGAGCTTGCCACTTCCAAGTGACTTGTCACCGTGGCGGCGATGCCCACGCGAATGCGATGTAAAACATGCATTTGCCTCGATCAAAGACCTTCTACCCCTGATTCCAATTGGGTTTTTCAGTGTCCCCAAC